CATTTTTTCTTGATAAATTATCTATCATTTAAATTGTTCAGCTATTGAGACAACTATTTGAACAAAATCTAATTTGATTTTTGATTGACAGAATCAATATTTGATAATGGAACTATAATTTCTAGAAATGATAATATTAATCATTTTGATCGTCCAAGTAGCAAACAATCGGTTATATTAACATTTGAGTTTGATGTTAGAGTGAGTATATCGAAGCAAACAAATTATATCTATCTCAAACAAAAATGCACGAGTATATTACATAATGATGTTTTGATTTACTTCTATAGAAAGCTTAGACTGATTGAGATAACAACAATATGATGCGATGAATCACTTGTCGATCGAAACAAATTTGAACTTACGAATATAGTTTCATTTTATGAAGTCTTAGTAAACGATTAATTTAGTAGAATATGATCATATGAATAGGATCGCTTTTGAAATACCATATTTTGTAATACTTCATAGGATCAGCTGACATATTCAACCTACATTCGATACCGAGTTGTTTTAAGAAGGTGCATAGCATTTCTGCTGTCAAGAACAATTTTGGTTTTTTCTTTAGAACAAAGAAACTTTCACGTTCATGTTCAAAACAATATATAAATTGTTTGACGACATAAAGTTAAGTAATTTATTTTATAAATCGATAGTTCCGATGTTACCCCCATTATCTACTAATAATTTTTTGTTTGATACGTTTAATCGATCAGACACCAATGTATGTTATGCTGAACAAATTTATTCAGAATTGCACATGGTATTTACAAAAAAAAGTTTGTATATACGTAGGAAAAAAAAACTTTTTTGTTCAGTGTGATACATTGATAGGTCTTATTATTAACCTGTATGTAACTTATGACGATGATTATCTAATTGCTTGTGATTATTTCATTCTACTTTTTCAGCAAATTATTGTCGAACTAAATGTCAATTTTTGGAGATTGTGTACATCGAGAAGAGAAGTATTTTTTTCGTCTTTACTTATATAGTGATGCTGATTTAGCAATAAAAAAAATACAGAATTTTCGCTTTGACTGATATAACAGTACATAGTTGTTTTTAAATTATGCTGACAAAACATTTGTCATAATTAGAAAATACATTTGGAAATAGAATATACGTTCTCATTGATTATCATTGTAATGGGATTTCACTTATGAAGAAGATACTCATATATTGAACAAATATCAATTTTTCTTCTCGATAGACATTTGTAGATCTATAGAGTGAACCAAGCCAATGAGTTATACTTATGAGAAATTTGTTCTGAAACAGATATTAGCCAAACATCAAAAGTTACTGTATTCTTAATTAATCTGATTATACAAAGGGTAAAAAAACAATATAGACATGATTGTATTTGATTTCGTAAATATCTAATCAACTTTTGTGCCGCTGAACCGCATCAGAACTTTGTGATATAACAGTCATAATCTGATGACTAACAATATGATTACATGAAATTTAATATTTGTTGAGTATTTGAAGAAGGAGAATTATGAAATATGTCAAGATGTTTATTGCGATCATTTTTTTCTGCAGCTTTGAGATTAAGTGGTTCTAATATCCACTTAATTGTATCATAAAATGCAACGTAAAAATTTGAAACTAAAATTATTTTTACTTGAAAAGCATCTAAAATATCAAGAAATGATACTTGTTTAGTTCTATTCGATAAAGATAATGTTCACTGATTATTATCATCAGTAAATATTGATTATTCATTAAGCAAATTATTAATAATGCCACTTCAACACTAACTGTTAAGGGTATGGGTATAAGTACCAATGAGGGTATTCGTGCATGTCCATACTCTTATCACTATATTCTTTTGAGTACGGTGGCTTTAGGATAGTGTTTTTTTAGATCTGAGTCATAGATGCATTGATCCATTGGTTGTTTTAATTGTTGTATCAGCTTGTTGTATTTTTTTCTTTTTCTTTTGGTGACTTTCAACTTGTCAATTATTTTCCCATTGAAGCCATTTATTCATGTAAAACTTTGATGTGGAATAAAAAAAGACTAGTAAAAATTTTCAATATTTTCATGTCGTGGAGCGTATATTTTATATTCAGAATACATTCGATGATGTCGTTAAATATTCAATAAAACCTTTTGTCGACAGAAATTTTATATTTCCTTGAATGAAAATGTAAATATGATTTTATTTAAATATGTATTTGAAACTTGTGTTTAATAACTGATAATGTTCGAATCAGTTATTATTAAATTTTGTTGATAAAATCTCATGATTTCATGAAATTTTCTTAAACAACCATAAATTTTTGCTAAACACAATCTAAAATCGTTATCTTAAAGTTTTCATGGTTTACATCGTGTTTTGGGATAAAAATTCTGCATCTAGTTGTGCTAATGGTACAGGCAAATATACTTCATACATTGAATATAATTCTAAAATTTGTACATGTGATAACAAATATTCTTGTATCTAAGCTATACAGAGATCATGCCTGTGTATAATAGAAATTAAAATAGCTATAACAAATAATGAGAACAAGAGGTAGAATTTTTCTATGATGCATTGTTACTGACTAAGAATTTGATCACTGTTGAATTTATTTGGAACAACTTTAACATTTGATTTGATACATTTAATCAAATGAACATCCGATAATAATGCAAATCAATTAGAAAATGTCTCGAATACAATTGAAACAGAAAGATTTTGAAAAAATGTATGAATATATATACAAAATGTACTTGACAAGTAAATATAACTCCTGGAAATATCAAATTCTTAAAATATTTTTTCATATAATGACATTTACTGTCATATGTTGTCGTCTACTATTATGTGGTGCATAACATGTATTCTTATCAGACACATCTACAAATCTCAAGATCAGACTTGTACCAAATATATTCTCATGTATTGTTTAGTACATAAGAGATTTGCGAATCTCGGATTTATTTAAAGAAAAAATACAACTTTGAGTTGATCAACTTCTTTCATATACCTACAGAAACACGACGAATACATGTTTCCCAGACTGAACGAAATAAAGCAGCAAGGATGAATATAGCCGAGTGCTTTTGAATGTTGTTAATAAGACTAATACCCTGTGAATAACTCGTTGAACTAACGGAAATAAAATTATTAATTCTGTCCATAGAGTGCTTGCATTGCAGCAATTTGTGAAAACTATTTCGAAAAAACTTATTTGTACAACCTCGTAAAAGCATAAAAGAGGCAGAAAGGCATTTTTGTTTTTTTCAATTAATTGAATCTAAAATAATACATGATAAAAAGATCAAGTTGCAAAAAAAAAGATCAAAATAAATACAAACAAATATACTGTCGAACAAACAAAAACACCTTCAAAATATTCAATGAGAAAGTTTTCTCATGATAAATATGAAGTGACGCATATAATACTGATATTGACTTTAGTATACATATTTTACTTTTTTTCATCCAATAGATGAAATCCACGTCTTACTTGAGAGCTTTAATCGAGTCTTATATAAACTAACTATGCATAAAAAGGAAATAAATGAATACACTCAAGCTCAATACCATTCATTCTACAAATGAAAAGAAAAAGCGAAACAACAAAGTGATGACATCTGAAATCCTATGGAAAAATTTATCGTTCTCGAAATTTCAATCTCATACGTCATACCTTTTCATTAAAAAAGGTGCGTTCCGCTTTACTTATGTCTAAATCCCTGCATGATCTACATTTTTCATTGCGATCACCATTTTGAAACTTCCGACCATCATCGTAACTGTACATCTAGAATACAGGGGTTCCTCTTCTTCATACTTACGTGCTTAGTGTACACGATACATTACATAGTTTTGTTCATTATTATATATTAGTGATGCGATGTAAGGAGAGAATATCTTGTAAGTCAAATAATTCTCCCAAAGTTTCTTATTAATCCATTTCGTCCCATCTTAGCAAAAACTAATTCATAATATCATACACTGTGTGAAAACAAATACTTTACAACATGTGAATTTTCTCAGAGAACTCTTTTAGCGATGACACAACATGCTTTACTTTAGAAAAACAGTAAGCCGAAATTTCAACAGAAAAAACACCGGTGAAAATATGGAGCACGGTTTAATGTTTGATAAAGCGTTTTTCTTCATATGCCAGCTACCTATAATACACGACAATAACATTCATTTCGAATATAGTGCATCATTCAAAAACTGAGCTATTTCTCTATATCATCACCGTTCGGCACCAGATTTTCCCCTTATATGAAATCAATATTTATACATATAAGAACAAATCTATTTCATTCGTTCATTCAAGCACTTCTATCTCTTAGCATTTTATTCACACTCTCCTACATTCAGTATCATTCATACATGCTTGTTCGGTCTTGGATATATTCACTTACGCCTTTTCATTTTCATCATTTTCCAGACATCCTCACAACATCTTCCTCTCTCCTACACTACATACATTAAGCCCATTAGTTGTTCATGATAAGAGTCTTTACAACAATGACGAACATTCAAGATTTCTTCTACAATGAAAATCACCTTGAAAAATTTATTTATTTTACGAGACATAGTTTAAATAATCACATGAATTTTGCAATATTAATGATAGATTTATGATGTTTGGTAATCGTAAAAATTTTCTCTGATCTATAGATCACATCGTTGTTCAACTGGTTATATAATATGTCTCACAGGCGTCTGATATGATACAGATGTTTTTACTTACTCCATTCTCAGAATATATTAATACATGTGCTCTATCTCTCTCTCTTGTCTATTATTAATTAGTGAATGTAAACATTGTCAACGTAAGATGATCAAAAACGATAGTAAATTACTTGAGCCAATTTTCCCATTTTTTGAAACAATATAAGAATAGTAGGTTAGTTAAATAATAATCCTTTTGATTTTGTTGTTGATTGTCATAAAAACAATTAAGTTAAACTTCTTAGATATGACTTAACTTCATATATTTATATATATTTCATTTCATTACATTTCTAGTTGAAACATGTCCTCAAATAAAAATAAAAAATGGTCATCTATCTCTTCATTGTCGAAACTTCTTTCTCAAATTACACATAGTCTTTTAATTCCATCGAAAAAATCAACACAAACATTAAAGAAAAATAAAAAGAAAGTTAAACCAACAGAATCTATTATTAAAGTAAATTAAATATTTTCTTCTATTATATGATTCTTATGTTTACTGTTTAGAATGTTGATTTTGTAGCACAAAGTGTTCCTGTAACTCGTCGTCATCCACCACAATCTATTTCAAAGGTTCTTCAAATTCAAAATTCGATAAAAGAAAATCATTATCGACAAATAGTTCATGAAAATTTGTATGTAAAAAGTGAAGACATAGACGAAGAAGATGATGATTATTCAAGATATTCACTTCAACCAAATTTATCTCTTTTTAATATAAGTACAGAAAATCTTAATTATAAATCAGAAGATTATAATCAAGAACGATTATCACGACAATATGATTGGCTCGATAATATATTTCATTCAACTAAGATTGAAGAATATTAAATTGCGTTTTTCTTTTTTGTTCTTTTTTTTTGTTTATTATAAAAAAAAATATAAATTTTATCTATTGATTGCTTGATTGCATCTAGCAATCATTTTCTTGGTAAAAGAAAAAGTAATATGTTTGTCTTAATATGATGCGATGATAAAAGAAAATGACATTAACATTGTTGCTGTCTACTGACAGCAATAGAATTGATAGTTATATTACGTTACGTGAACATCTTCATTTTATTGATGGTTTCTTTTCTCTTTTTGCTATATAGTATTAGTGTGAGAATGATAAACGTGAGAAAAGAGAAGAAGCAAAAGAAGACGAAGAAAAGCGAACAAAGTCTTAGTAGAATAAAATGTATAAGAGTTAGAAAAGAGAGCTTAACTACTTTCTTCTTTTCTTTTACTCTTATACAGCGAGTAATACGAGTATGGTTAAATGATAGAGCATACAGACATATGCATACAAAATAACATACAGATTTATTGTATAGAATATTACGTCAAATTTTTTTTTTCGTTCTTTTCTTTATTTGTTCTTTTTTGCTGATTCTTGAATAGAGAAAGACATATATGTGTCGAGGGAGTGTATAGTCAGAGCTATATGTCGAGGAAAGAAAAAAAAACATTTTTTTTTTCTACTCCTCTCGTAGTGTACGAGGTAATTAAAGAGTAACATTTATACACATATTCACTGTTGTGACAACTGTAGATTTTGAATGGATTTATTACGTCTAGCTGATAAATTTTCTGGTATTTTATCGTTAGCTAATGTTCGTGCTAAAGCGGATGATTTTCTTATTGATCGTTTAAATTATAAATTTACATCAGCTGTTTTATGTGGATTTGCATTATTTTGTGGTGTGAGATCATCTTATACTGTACCAATTATTTGTTGGACACCAGCACAATTAAGACGATATGAAAGAGCTATAACAGCTTATTGTTATGCAAATAATACTTATTATATACCAGATGATCGACGTGTACCTTCGACTACAAGTGAACGATATGAAAATTTAATTATTTATTATCAATGGTTGGTATGTAATATTTGAAGAAAAGAAGAAAAAAAAATGAAAGAATAACTCATTATTTGTTTTTTTGTATTTTTATTAGCCATGGATTTTTGCAATTCAAGCATTTTTATTTTTTTTGCCAAAAATAATTTGGCATTTAGCTCTTTTAGGTAGTCGACATGATGTAAAATCTTTATTAGATGCAGCAGATAAACTATATGTTGTACCTAATTTGGGAAATAAAAAACCATTATCAAAATATCGTTTAAAACAACTTGAATATTTAAATCGTCGATTATTCAATCGAGAAAATGGTGATGATATAATTATTCATAGTCATCATCGTAATAGTCGAATATTTTCATGTTATTTAATAATATGTTATATTGGTATTAAATGTTTATATTTCTTAAATTGTTTAGTTCAAATAAGTTTAATTCATTTAATGATTGGTACACGTCCATTTGGTATAAATCGTTTTAAACATTTAAAAGAAGATACATTTGAAACACATTTTATTGGACAATTTTTAAATAAAATAAGTTCAGGTGTATCTGAATTAATTGATACAAGTGCATTTCCAAAACGAACACTTTGTGATTTTACATTTCGTGAATTAGCATCTAATCATGCATATACTGTTGAATGTATATTACCATTAAATATAATTGTTGAAAAAATGTATGTCTTTTTATATATTTGGTTTATTTTCTTAGCATTTATTATCTTTATTGATTTTATTAAATGGATTGGACATTTAATACATTGTCTTGTTAATAGTGATAAAACACGTGAACATTATGTTCGAACACATCTTTTTGATCGGACAAAATATAGTTCTAATGACATTAGTCGTTTTGCCAAAGACCATCTTACAGGCAATAATTACTTTTTACTTAAACTTTTATCAAAAAATATTTCTAGTTTTGTTGTTGTTGATATGTTAGATTATTATTTTAAAATCAAAACTATGTAATAATAAAATAAACATGACTAACAGAATATATATATTTATATATATAATGGAAAAAAAAAATTGTGATAGATTATATATTAAACGTAGAAGATATTTTTAATTGAATAAATAAAAAAAAAATGTATTTTAAAAAACTTATCAATACTTATGAAAACAATCAATATTTTTGATTTATTTATTTATTTATTGTGTCTCTAAAATGTATAATATTGTAGATTTTTTAAAAATTTCTTTTCATTATAAAGTGATATAATCAAATGTATTAGTAGAAGATAAATGAGTTTTTAATGTGAAGAATAGATTTTTGTTTGATGTTAGAATGAAATCATAAATTAATAATTTATGTAATATATGAAAAGATGATATCATTAATGATTGATGAAAAATGTTCTTAAGATTTAGGCCTTTAGATTAATTTTATCTACGATCTTGATGCATCCTGAACAGATAGATGTTGAATTCTTATCCACTATGTAATCATTTTTAAAGTCTTACTAAAGAAGTACAAAAATTGAACAAATGATATTAATGCAGAGTAATGATAGATACTTAAGTTTATAGAAAATATAATGGACGAATATTAGATGGAAAGCATTATTCAAATTTGGAATAAATTCAAAAGAAACTTCCTCAGATCAGAATTCATTGTTACTATCTTATGTATGGATTCAATTCATGACGATAACAGTAGATTTGATAAAGTTTTTAAGTATGAAATATCTCCGATTATACTTGACTACAGTAGTTTATAGTTTATAATGGAATATAAGAGAAATAAGTAAATGAAGAGAAGTTAAATGTCTCTTACACTTGATAGCGAGTGGAGCATTGTTAATTGAGTTACAGATTTTAATGATTGTATTTTTTGATATTTAATTGGCTTAAATACTAGAATCTGTTTACTATTTCACATAATTTCAGCTTGAAAATCTCAACTAAATTATTTAAGTTGTTGTTTAATTCAACGATTTCAGATTTGATAAAAATGCAGATGAAATTGTAACAATAGTGATTTGTTCTCGTTCAGACAAGTAATAGATGAAAAGGAAACGTTCTACATTTGTTTAGTCAGATGGAGAAATTTGTTGAATAAATTGAAAATGCTGTTTCATAACAATCACCATCTGACGCAGTTTATATCGATTCAAGTACACATTTAACAAAACACATTATACATTTAATGTGGAAAATTTTTAATTTTATTTTTATCATACATAGAATCATTTGCACCATGAATTCTAATTGATTCAGCTGTGCGCTTTTCAAATTATTTGAATAAGAATAAGTTCATGAGCAATTGCCAATACATGATGCGTCAAACGGATTCTTCATTTCCCATAATCATTAAAATAATTAATAAAATGGTCAAGAAAAGAACAGTAATATAATAAAAGAAATTTATATGGTTTATCCTTTATATGCGAAGCCTTAGGAAATGTTTTGTAACTGGCATTTTACATCCGCTAAAAGCAAGGAATTTAGCTGAAACAAATTGTTTAAAAAAAAATTATGAATAAGACCTATTGTTGGTAAAAAAATTGCTCTAGTGCTAAATAATCTTCTTATAAATTCTCTAGCTACATCGACTTCTCTTAATAAACAAGGTAGTTTTCGTTTTAAAATCTGTTAAATAATTCCATCGCCTAGTAACTTCAAGATTTTCGGGATATTAAAAAAATAATTTGTCTATCTAATTTCATTCGTAGTTTTTGTGAACGAAAATCCACACATACAATTTTCATTGCTATTTTATCGATATTAATTAAATATTCACTATCAAATTCATAGAAATTGATAACATTTTTATCATATATACATATAACTACTGATAAATAAAAGAAGATGATTCTGATTTACTATTGATATGATTATTATAACTTAGAAGTCATTTTATAAGAATTTATAACTAATGTTGAATGAATTTTCGTTTAACAGATTTATTCAGCAGTTTTAACAAAATCAAATAACAATGATACTTTTTAAAGTTTATTTCGAAATAAAATGCGAATAGTACTTAAACCTAACATACTTATTGTTTTGCCACACATTTTTCTATCCTGTTTGAATTATTTCAACAAGTAACTTCATAGGTGTATGTTCAACTTGAAGTTATAGAAGAATTATTATAGCATCATTAGTAAGAGTTGCATTCTCTATTAGTTTTTCTTTTATTTGGATATGTTGAAATGAAATATATTAACCTTTTGGCAGTGAAGCTCGTAAACTTACGGTTTCAAAATTTACTTAAAGCAAAATGTCCTTAGTCATATTGAAACAGGTTTTTTCGTATGCTTTACACTTAAATGTACGTATTGCCAGTAACGATTTTAAACATTAGCGCTTTACACAGTATATTCGGTTTTAAACTAACTAGACTTACTGCTAGACACTTTTCGTCTCTTGTATCTTAAACAACAGACACAAAAAACCTGAGAAAATTTATGTTGTATTTGTTCATACAAATAGAAGATAAAAAGAGAAAAGATTCATGAAATAAGTGTAAATTGGAAGATAATTGATACTATCAAAAGTCTCGCTTTTGTCACCGACCTATTTTTGAGTGTATTCTTCTAATCGACCGAAGCAGGATACAAGACTAAAATTTGTTGAACAGTCATCCATGTGAAATTGGTTGTTTTGATCTTTTACTTTCCTGATCCACTGTTTTTTTTCTTGAAGAAATATTTTGAAAAAACCTCTTGCGTCCAGATAATTTCTATATTAAACTATAGTTAACATATTTGCTGAATGTCAAGGAAAAAAAAACATAATAGATTAAGGAAATTTAATTTATCTAGGAGCCAATCGCTCTTTTCTTGAAGTTATTTGCATTTATAAAACGATTCTTAGCTATAAAAACCCATTGGAACTAGGGGTGGTACTTTAACTTTACTTTAAAATTAAAGCTAGCAATATAAACTTTAACTTTAAAGTTTAAAAACAATTTTTTTGCGGAAAAATCGAACTCACAATTTAGAGAAATCAGTTTCAAATTCGGATCCCTTGACCCTGATGTGTCTCGATCAAATTTTAAAAGGGACCGCTTTTTCTTAAAAAAGCTCTTGTTTGGTGGAAAATCTCTAGTTTAAAGTATTCTACTTTAACTTTAATTACCTTATTAAAGTACTTTTAAAGTTAAAGTGCTACTCTTAATTGAAACAAAATGTAATTTGATTGTCAGAGGAGAGTGAAACAAATTTTATAGGAGCGATGATTAACAGGTGTGATTCTAATCCTGCTTGTTATTCTGAAAACAAAAAACAATAATTGAATTAACATTCGAATTTGGTGTCACAAACTATCGAGCTAAACAAGTTAATATTTATTCTGAATAGTTGTATGTCTTCTCCTAGTAATATGCTATGGGGTCAAACACTAGAAAAGTGAATTAACGTTAAAGTTGATTTAACCAATTACATTGTTTTATTCAACTTTAACGTGAATTCACTTTTCTAGTGTGTTTGACCCCTACGTCTTTTTTATGTCTCAGTGACAATCGATTCTCTTTTTTTACGTATACTTTAAATCTTGACAAAGAAACAAGCAAAACAAACAAAAAAAAAGAAAACGCAACAATTAAAAAAATACCAATATTATTCTTCTACGTTTTATCTACGATATTTATGCATATTTAGATAATATTCACCCAAGAAGATCAATAATGTCACAGCCGAAACTAACTTGTTCATCCAGTCTAACAAATCAGGAAACCACTAACATATTATCGCCGTCAAGAACAAACCAACCACTGCAGTAATAAAGGACGAGTAAAGGTTTCCAAATCCAATGGTCTCCGTAGAGACTATTAAAAACCTGATTAGACCATACAAGGGAACCTTTTGATCTTCTGGTTTTTTACGGAAATCAGCAAATTTTCGGATTTTCGTCAAATAAAAAATGAATAAACCAACCATCAAAAACGAAATAGAAATCACTGTAAAATTTTTTCGTGCAGCTCACATGACATTAACATTAATAAAAAAATATTAAAGGATTGCTAATTTCCAAACTATGAATGTTTATTTTAAACTTGAAAACTATCGATTTCCCTATTAGTTACACATGATCTTAAAAACTTTATAACGTCTCACATCTCACCTTCAAGCACCATAATGTTTAACTTGGTAATGTTCATCCAGGGAATTTCATTCGAAAAAAAAACATTTCAAAACACAAAGTCACAATAAATTTCACTATTGTCAATATAATATTACCAGTTACAATCAATTTTGAATCTGAAAATGACAAAACAATGATTATAACCACTTAAATATTTCTTATGAATTTAATTATTATCATTATTCAGATCTAATATTTAGACTCATATAGGGCTCACTCATTAACTTGTCTAATTATTTCATGTTTTTTAATCATAAAACTGTGGTCGTAGCAAACGATGCTATCGTTTGGTGTGAAAAAGTAGTTCCTTTCTAATTCTTTAACTTAGTCCTTCTATCGCAAAACTTGTTGTGGATCGAAACGATAAAGCAGTTCATTTTAACTTATCGTTATTTAACATTTCGTTGATGTTTATACTTCGTAACTTTATTGCTGTCTTAGAATTCGCCTAGACTCGTGCATAGAAAATTACAAAAAAACAGATCATTTTTTTTTATTTCAGCTATTCATTTATACTTGTCTACAGGTCAGAAGAAGAGAAATTTGACTCTGTCATTATGTTTATTTTTGTTTTTTCCCTTGGTCCATGGTTTAAAAAATTTGATGACTGTAGTTCCTCTGTCACCATGAGGGATTTGTTCTTATTTGATTTTCCTTGGTTAAGATAGTCTTTTATAGATCTTTTTTTAATCTGTCTATCTAATTACTATTTGTTAATTTCCCTTGCATGTTTACCAATGCTTTAATAAAAATCACCGGATTACAACGAACTGACAAAAGTGATGTAATATGGTTTCGATCACAAAACAATCATAACTTTCACATTGTATAAAGAAAGTGTGAATCATTACTATCAACGATATGATGAACATACAAACGAATCTGTTTGGAAAACAATGGGGAAACAGCACATGACAGTTTTCTCAAGGCCAAAAGTCATGTCTCTAATACCGTTTGTGTTCTAGGATCTATGTGAATTCACAGTTGTTTTTTTCCCTGTTAGATCTATTTCTGATTTCTGATAAAAATATTGCACAGCTACTAAAGACTAAAGATTACAGAAGAAGAATGATCCGAAAGAAAGAATGTTAATGTAGTTCTAAACGAAAAACTGTAAAGTAGGTACACTTGAAAGCCCACAACAGCAACGAAGAATTATTAATCTAACATTAAATGTTTTTATGTATCAAAATGATGAATTAAATAATTTATTCTACTTTACTTTTATTTTATAGTTTAAATTAAATATAATTATAAAGCGAAATGGCTAATTCATTCATTTTATTCAATATCAATTTAATAATTTTTATGTTAATATTATTATGGTTTTAAAATTGTAGGCGTATTTTTCTTGTTCTTTTTCAAATTATTGATTTTATGTGAGATGACTTCATGGTTGCAAATGACAAAACAATTAATTCTAGCCGGTTTTGATGCATCAGATTTATATTATGTAGTGTTATTTTAAATGGCAGAATCTGACATTTTAGTATTCTATAGGATACTTTTTGTTACACATTCTTGGATTGAATTTTTATTAATTTAGGTTGTTGGTAGATGGTTGGCACCTCAGTTAAGAAGAGCGGAGTACATTCTGTTTGAACAACGATGCCAGTGAATAAAATTTATCGTAGCATATATGGTGAGTCTAAAATAGAGATCCTCTGTGTTGGAAATATTCGGACGTAAACTGCTTAACTCTGCAAGTTTCGATGATTTTACCGCATCTATTAATTAAGATAATTATTAAAACATTTTTAGCCATTTATAAGCGATTTAGACGGAAAATTGTTATGAAAGTTGACGAAATTAGAATGAAGAATAAGGAAATAGAATTCGCTGCAGTGAGATGATTCTTTTAGAAAACTATATTCATTATAAATTACTGTCTTGATACCTTTTTCATGCATAAAGTTTGCACAATATTCGAAAGCTGTCGTTTAGTGCGATTCGATGATGAATCAGATTTTTAAACGAAGTAAATACTCTGGTAAGTTCATAAATGAGAAATATGATGCTCAAAAATAGACAAACTACACTAGGTTGTTGAATGATTATGGTCTCAAAATCACTGTTGCTTCTGTTCGAAACTGTTTTTTTATAAGCTGATATTGTTTCTTGTGATTTCTATATGGTTATTTTTCGAGAGATTTTTTTCCAAAGAATATTTGATTATCATCGATTCTATAGATTAAAATCTGTTTCACACTCATGTAATGTCTCTGTCGGTCATTTGAACAAGCTGTTAATCAACAATCGTTGAATCTTTTGAAAACTTTGTCCATGACTCTTCACGTTGGAGCATCATTATTGAAGTAGATGTTTGGCTACGAGTTTTCTGTGAACTGTAAGAATGGATATTTCACTTACATAGTATTATTCTGTCATTGTATATTAATCAATGAAGTAGAAATACGGTAACCTCACTGGTGTATTACTATCGGTTACTCCTTTTCATTTGTCTTTCTATGAATGAGCTTTATTTTGCACTGGTGATGGCGATGTTGATAATAATAATGATGTTGTTGTTGTTGTTTTTTTGAGCCATACCTTTGATGTATCTTATTAGAGTGAATTTACGTAAATCATCTTAGTAAAACTCAACAGATGGACTTCAATTGAAATTCGCCTCCAACATACCTGGGCAAAAGCCTTCTCCCTCTTTAATTTCAAGTGAATAGTAGTTTCAAGAATCGCTTCAGTACTTTTTGTAGTGCAGTGTATGATCGATGACAATTTGCTTCGATGAAGGATATACGTCTTTCAATACAATCGAGCAACATTATAAATGAGTTGGTTGACAGAGTGCTTTACGACTGGGTAATCTTTTTGTTTTGTATGGACTCATTGTTGTACTGGTTTGGATCATGAAGCTGTCTTCGTCATCGACTCAAAGCTCTTTCAAGAATGCACTTGAGTCGATTATATAAATACAGATGAAGTAAAACTAATAAAACATTCAGAAAATATAAAGAAAAAGAGATAATCCAGTCACGAAGTATTCTATCAACCAGCTCATTTGCATTATTGGCCGATTGTATCGAATGAGGTACAACATTTACTGAAACAGGTCACAACAAATTATACATTACACTAAAACACAGTCTTTAAGCCATTTTTACAACCACTATTGACTTGAGACCAAATAAGTGCGATACGAAAACAATGAGGATAGAGGAAAACTTTTGCCCATGAGTGTAATTGGCAACCTAATCTTTCTGACGGTGAGTTGTTCGATTGACACATGTACTTTTCTCTGAACCTCATTGCTATTTGATAGAATATCATTGAATGTGAATAATTTGTGATTTTTAATCGAATGTCGAACTAGAAAATCGTAAAGGCGCTACGTCATAATGAAGATTTAGTTTTGCTTCACATATTATCTTTTATCTTGAATTTGTACACGTCTTTATATTTTCTATAGACATTTAATACAGAATTATTTCAAATCAGATGCAAATCACTTCTGCTATTGATAACAGTTGTAGTCATTCTAGGATAACAAAAGACATCTTCAGTTTTATATTCATAACCATATACAAATTTCTTGAGGACCGTCAATCAAATGATTCATTGTGTAATTTGATAGTTTCGACTATACCTTGAGTACTATTGTTTCTTATCTGATGAATAATCTGAATTGAAAATAGACTTAATCGATCAGACATTCAAATATGTGATGCTGGATAAACGAATTTCAGAATTGTACATTGTATTAAAAAAAGAAGCAAGACTCAATGTATATATTATTGACTCCAAACTATTGGGAAGACAGTTTCGATTTGAAAGCTCAGTTATTTTAAAGAACAAAAAGATACTTCTGAAAGAAATGTATTAACAAAAACAAAAAGAATGAGAAAATATCACAATGAAATTCACGCCAAATCTACTACACAATAAAAGAAATGTTGATTCAATGAATTTAAGAAAAATTCAAAATAGATTCTTCTAATAATTTATTCATAGATCGTTGTTGTTCAAGTTGATTTTCAAATTCTTCAATAATGTTTTCCTTTTTCTGTACAGTTTCTTCAAGTTTTTTTTTTAATTGTTGATTAATCTGACGAGCGCTAATTAAGTCTTGTTTGAGATCACGTTGAGTTCGTTCAAGACGAATATATGATTTCATGGTTTCTGAAAGACGATTTTCTACTGTAGCAATTTCTTCTTCTATCTGTATGTTTAGCTTCATAAATTCAGATTCGTACCTATATTTTGATCTATCAATGGATGCTTGTAGATTACGTATTTTTTCTTTTAACTGATTATCAGTCGAACAAGCTAGTGTACGTGTATACGGATTATAACATTTCCGAATAGATAAATACTGTTGATTAATAACATGTGGTTGATCAAGAACAATACGATCTATTGAATCATAATCTTCAAAACTTAATAGAAATGTACGACCATTATCAAGTATTTTCCATTGAAAAATTGAACCATATTTACCAAAATAAGCCAAAATATTTTTTTTATTAAAAGACGAATCTTAATAAAATATTTTGCATAAATTTGCATCACTCATATTTATTATAATAGATACAAACCGAATTTATCAAGATGTATTAAAATATATTTAGTAATGGGTCTTTGATCTTTTGAAACTTCTCTTAGATTTCTTTTGACAATAAATCGATATTCTTGATTGATTTGAGAACGTTTAGCTAAGCATTGATCAACACTTGAAATTGAAGCAAACGTTAAAATTGCAAAACAACAATCTACAGATGCAAACATTTTAATCGTTTAAGAACATTGAAGAAAAAACAAACAAACCATTTAGTACTGCATTTGCACATGGATAAAAATGACATTCTGTAATACTACTACCTTTGATCAATCGATGAAAATAATCAATCAGGGATTCAGATGTCCACGAATCTTTATGAAATACACCAACATAGAGTTCGTGTCGTTGAAGGTCTTTTGAATCGCTTGATAAAGACATTAACCTTAAGTAATTAAAATTAAAAAATAAAATTTTCCAATACAAAAAAAACATCGTTTTTTTGTGATTTATTGTTATGCATAAACAAACAAGTGTATAACAGAGATTTTATACAAAAAATTATGTAAAAGAAATAATTCGCTATAGTTAAGAATTTTTGTGTAAATACAAAATAGCATCTTCTAATGATTGATTTTTTCTTTTTTGTTCTTCAAATTGATTTTCAAATTGATTTTTATTCTTTCCATTTTTCTTTTCAAGCTCTTCAATTTGTTGTTTTAATTGTTCATTTAAATTAATTAATTGAAGAAAGTTTTGTTTAAGATCATTATATTTATTTTCAAATTCATGTAAATTTTCTTTTGTTTTATTTAAATTTTGATTATTTACTACAATTTGTCTATTCATATTATATTTAACTAGAGCAAATTGTGTTTTATATAAAATTTTTAATGGCTGCATAAAATCAGTAAGATTTCGAAATATTGGATACCATCGTTTAACTTGATAGGCATTTTTTGGATCAATAAAACGAAATTGTGATAAATTACAAATATATTCGGGTGCAGTATATTTATGAATAGAAAGTAATTGACCATTTAAATAATGTGGAGTATCAAGAAGAACACGATCGGAAGAATCAAAATCTTCAAATGTTATGAAACATATGCCAGCACTATCTTCTTCTTCAAGCATTTTAAAATCTACAATCTTTCCATACGTGCCAAAATACGAACGAATATTTTCTTCCGTGAATAATGGATCTATGTAATAGAAAAATGAATGATTTCACATATTTATTATTGAAAAAGAGGAATAAGCAGGAAGAGTACACCTGTCTATTGATCACCTGGTCTTATGGGGTGTTGCTTAGCAGAAGATTTATTAGCTCGATATCTTTCATACAGACAATATTAGCTGTAGCTCGAAACATAAGGCCGGTCTGATGCAGAGTTCTTGTATTTAGTCTCTTAAGCTCTCTGTACACAGTGACTAATTACATACTAGACTAGGGATGAGCAATTTCGATTCTTACAAGCAAAAAATTTGAAATCAAAAACATTTTCATGGAAGATGATGCACTTCTTTATTTACGCTTTGACAAATAGTTAAAACCAGTGATTCAAAAGAATATATAAACAATGATTTGCTAAACAACAAAAGAAGACACTTCTAACTCTAGCATAATATAGGTACATTTAATTCAATCGTCTACGTGAATAATTTATAATTACTTTTTAATCACTGAGTGAGCAACTCCAATCTAGATTCGCAATTGAAACTGGTATCGACGATTCCAATTCTTAAAAAAGCCAACTTCGCCCATCCCTATACTAGACATGAGAGGAGATGTATGTCGCAACTTAGTCAGCATGCCTTCTGACAGTTGATCCAAGACAAACAGGCGTTACTGACTTGTCTAGAATTATTCCATGGCTGGCGGCACCGCTGCTTGAACACGGTACCTACTGAATACGTGCCCTAAGTGTAGCCTCTCAACCATGATGACTCTTATTTATAATTGTATTAATCATTTACCTGGTGAAGATATTCGAATAACGATATCTGTTGACGACATAAGTCTTTCACATTTCGTTATAGAATCTGGTAATAAACGTTTTATTGTAATTCCATAATCATTATTAAATTGTGCTCTTTTGGTCATACAACGGTCAACACAAGCTTCATCAGTAAATGTGATAAATGCAAAAGATTTTTCTATTAAAAATAATAAAGAATTTTTTAAATTTTTAAAATAATTAATTAACCTTGAAATCTTGCTTCACTATATGACATTATTTGACAATCAACGATATACTGTTCATCGTTTGAACTAGCATGTTTATTGAAATATGCACATAATTTTTCATTAGTCCATGTTTCATTATCAAGAACACCAACGAATAGCTGTCGACGTTTTATTGACATTAATCTATAATCAACAGCGTTTACAGATAATTAGTCTCTTATTTTATTCTAATATTCACATTTACTGAAACATAAGATTCATACAAAAATATCAAACCGTATAATGAAAGAAGATCTGCTACGTTTATTATATTCATCAGAATCAGGTAAAACGAAATTATAATTTTTTTCATCATCTTCTTTCGAAGGAAGTTTCTCAACTGTTCAATCGCTTTTAATTTCAGACTATATGCATTATGTAGATCCAAATGAGCTATAAATATCGTAAAAAGAGATCGCGCTTTTGAATTATTGCTACGGAAATACTGCACTTGTATAGTATTTTTTAAATAAATGCTGTGGTTTCTCTTAGGAAGAACATAAAAACTTATTTTCGAATTTCGACTGGAAACTTTGGATACAGCAGAGCCATAACAAGAATAGTCTTTGGTGAATATTTCAAGTCTTGTTGCTGTTCTTGTCTTAAGATACAATTATGCTAATAGTATGTCTTTTACATTACTAATATAAATCGACAGATTTGATGATCTTAACTCAGGATAGAAGTAAATCAAAAGACCTGAAACTTTCACAACAAACGTTTCTCGTTAAGACCTGTTTCTATGCGAATTTTCAAGTCGAAATTCAAAAATCAGTTTTTCTGTGTTTTTTGAGAGAAACCACAGCATTTATTTAAAAAATATCATAAAAGTACAGTATTTCTACAGCAATAAACTTAGAGCACCAACTCTTTTCACGATATTCATAGCTCATTTGGATCTACATAATGTACATTGTCTCAGCTCAAAAGCGATTTAACAGCTGTAGGGCTTTCTTCGTTAGACGTGCATTAATCTAAATATTCGACTTTACATTCCAAATCGAACTTAACTTTATATAGTTTGATTTAAGGTTACTTCTTTCTGCAGATATCCTCACATTTGTTTTCAGATGATTATGTCTCATTGTTCAAAATGTATTTGAGTAATTAAATACAAAAAAACAAAGATTTATTTGTTAATATTTTATTTTTATTTTTTGTATTTATGTACTACAAAAAATAAAATAAAAATCTAGATACTGTTCATATTCATTGACAATAATAATAATAAAATCAAAAATAATCTTTCATACATACAAAACAAAAAAGACAATAATTATTAACAAATATTATTTATAATATAGATATAATAATTCAATTTTGAAAGACAATGGACGGATTAAGCTAAAGAAAAACTAATGATTGATTGATTGATAATTTATATGTTCAACCTTTTTTAAAATAAAAAATCATATCATAATTAAAAATTCCTATGCGTCTTGTTGCTTACCACTGTTCACATTTCTAAATTTGTTTATTTTCATCATTCACTAGTTTAATACAAATTTTTTATTAGATCAATGTTATTCAAAAAATTTTTACCCTTTTTTTAAAGGTTTTGTAGTCATTGATGTAGTAGAAAAATCGATGACTAATAAAAGAAAGGATTTACAATGTCAATATTAAACAAAATTTTACTAATTTTATATTTGTGACGAGAATATCGTATTGGACTTACTATTTAGTTTGGTGACCATATTTCGTTGTACTTGATCTATATCAACAACCGATGCTCTTAGACCAATGGATTCTGAATATAAAATAATGCATGTATTACTTAGAGCATACCCAAAGTAGTGGTAGAGATACTTTAATTGCTTGTAAAAAAGGAAAAACTTTAAAGAAACAGTCTTTCTCTATGATCTGATAGTAAAAGCAACTGTCTGCAATTATTTGAGATTTACTCAATTTTAACTAATAAAATTTTGATAAGAGCTAATTGGTATGATACGTGACGGTAGTATTGAATCACATTTTATCTTCAATGTGTATCCTTTTTGTTCTTCTTCACTCTTTTTTTTCTCGTCTTCTCTAACCCCTAGACCTCTAAGCATATAAGAGTTTAGAAAAAGTGATGCAGTAGAACAATTCAACTTAATCAAACAAAATCTAAACGATCAAATCGATTCCAAGACGTTACATCATGCTGAAAACAAGTTGATGAATTTTTCGAATACAAAGAGTATTAAAAAAACATCCGATAAATCGATTCAACGAGTGCAATTGAGTGTGAATAATTAGGGCAAGTATTTCGAACGTTTAATGAAAGAAAGACTTGATGAACTTGTTTGTGTATTTATTTTTCGTTGTATTCTCATCACTTTTGTACGCCTTATTATGTATAGGTGACTAAATATGAGAGAAGCCGAAAAAAAAAGAACAAAGAAGATACACATTCAAGATAAAATGTTGTTTAATAGTCTTATCATGCATCATAACAGACAATTCTTATCGAAATTTTATTATCATGATATTAGTTGAAGAATGATTAAATATCACAGAAATGTAGACCATCGTTTTTACTACCAGAACCAGGGTTGCCAATACTTTTAAGGGCTGGAAGCTAAAAATCGGCAGAATGTGCTTTCATCCTCGAGTGCTGGAAGTGGTGACTGAAGGGAGGAAAGGGAAGAATAAAATCTACTATGAACCGACTCCTTCCACAAAATATGATCTGTCACGAGCCATCCTCTTCCTGGGGCCTGTCAATATCCTATTCACCGCGGAACGACATTGTCTGCTTATTATTTATTTTACTTTCTGATAGAGAAAGGCAAATGATACTTTAAAATTCAGTTTCTATCCAAAGTTACCATGAAGCTCGAAAAAATTGACAGAATGTATTAAAAATGTTAGCACAAGTTGGACATTTTGGGGTGGGAGAAGCCCTGCCCTTCTAATCAAGAATTTTGATCAAAATCAGAACTCGGACGAAAGTATTTGTACTTTGTATTTATGTTTGTACTTTGAGACCAATACTTTCGTTCTTACAGGTAAGTACAAAAGTCTGTACTTTGTACTTAGACTTGTAACACGAAGCAATATCTTTTTGCGTATTCGAAGTTTGTTTGTGAGCATTTCACTATTGTCGTCAACGAAAGATATTTCAAGTATTACAGCTCATTCGATTAAGTAGTTTAATTGTCTACTAAATGCATACATGAACTTAATGAAAATTAAAACGAATGTCGGATTTCTGCATATTTTTGAAAGCCTGAAACTTTTTTGTGTGAAGCATTTTTTGTATATTTTTGATGTATTACATGAAGAATGATAGACTTTCAATTTAAAAACAATTAGCTTTTGACTAGTTTGAATGACTTTCAGATGAATTTAAAAGTTTTTGTTAAAGTAGGTTTTCATCTTAAGCGTATTTAAATTTTTAAATTATTAGTCACATGTCAAAATAGATCTGATAAATTGCATCCATGTTCAGTCCAATAGTATTAGAAAGAATTAATGGTTTTAACCTATACTTTTAGGATGGTCTAACCTATATATTGAAGAAATCCTGTGGATGACTTGAAAATGCAACGAAGTAATAACTTGTTCTGGCTTATAGAACATGGATCAGAATTTAAGTAGATTCTTCTTAGTGCCGTCAAGAACTACGTTTATCTATGATAGTTAGTTGAACGATATGAAGGAACTTGAACAATTAAAATAGATGAGTTTTATAAGTGTTCGGCAGTGAATTTATCAGCACTTACAGGAAAAAAATTCTTATTTTCATTTACTTTTTGATTAGATGATGTCACGATAAACTTAAAAAAATTATCTAAGGTCGTCAACTTTAAAGATGAAGTTCATTGTATTTATAAATCAAGTAAAAATACCAAATGCTTTTTTCGAACTTAAGTACAGGAGCAAGTATACTTGTGAAAAGACAAGTAACTGTACAAGTACATTTTTTACAGTACAAATACATTTATTTAATGTGTTTGTTTTCGTTCTACTTCTAATTAGAACATATAGAGAGAAAATTTCTTTAAGTTTTTTTTATAAAGAATTAAAATATCTCCGTCACTATTTCTGATATGCCCTAAGTATAATTCAAAATAAACACTATTTACCTTTTGAGCATTTGCATTCATCTATTTTATTTTGAAATTTATTAAGATCAGACTGGAATTCATTTAGAATAATTGATGTCTTTTAAAATATATATGTTATTCATTAATGAACTAGGGAAAAATAAAAAAGATCCTACCTTATCAGATGAATTATGTACGAGATTAGTTAATTGCTCCAGACGTTTTATCAATTCTTGTATTTTGATATTTTGATTGAAGCTTTGAATTTCATTCTTAAACAAAACCAAAAGAAATTTCTATTTTCATTTATATAGAAAATACTCACCCGAAGAGAATTGAATTGTTCATACCATTTCATTATACTTTTATCCGTCATATTTTCTAATCGAATTTCTGTTTCTTGATTTAAATTCTATTCACAGAAAAATTCTTTAAGTTATTTCAATAAATTATTTCTTACATGCAAATCATTCGTTGTTTTAGGAAAATGTGTTAATTTATGTTCAATTTTCTCCCGATTAGATGAGATAACATTATTGTTATTTAATAACATCTACAAATAAAAATTTTCTTAAAAGAAAAACGAAATAAAATGTCTTCAATACTTGAACTTTTAATTTTTGTAATTGATTATAAACAAATGAAAAATTCCAATTTTCAAGAAAATTAACACGAGTTTTCATTTGTTCAATTGCTGGTAAAATCTTATTCAATTCCACATTCAAAAATTTCTTTTCAACTATTTAGATAAAACTAAAATCAAATGAAAATTGAAAATAAAAAATAATTTACTTTCATTAATACGTGATGAAAGACTTTGAACTTCCTTTTTCAATTCAATATTTGCATAAGTTAAAACAAAACTATGACAAGAAAAAAGAAAATCGATTTTGATTACGCAAAAAATACAAAAGAATTACCAAAAAATAATACAAATGCAAATAAGACTAAAACAAAAAATATGTTGAAAATAATTCCAAAGACGAAGATATCGAGATGAATGTCTATAGAAGAAATAAGAGTTCAAGTTTTATTGTCAAATTTCATGAACTTACAGCTTAGTGACCGGGATTTTTCGATGATGGATAAATAATTCGTCTTCAGAACTTCGAAGTACATCATTCGAATTACTTTTTGTTAAATGAAATTTCATTAAAGAATCAAATTGTTTTCGTTTTCTCATTTTTTTATTTGAATCACGTGAAATATTTGAAGACATGTCAGCTTCTAAATCATTAAAGGTTTCTTTTTTTTTCATTAGATCAACTTTACTCAAAACAAAGATGTATCGAGTTCGCCACGAGCGGGGGAGGATCGATGACTCAGGAGGCCGATTGGGAAATTCTTGCTAAAGTTGATCGGATTTCTTAGAGAGGATTTGAGCATTTTGGGGAATAGATGAGTAAAAAACAGAATAGAACGCTGGAACACCGCAGAAGAAACATGAAAATTTTTCAAGATTTAATAGTTCACTCCTCCTCTCCCCAGGACAAGATGCTTCTGATTCTAAAGTAAGTTTTATTTAATTTACATACAATTGTAATCAGGGAACATGAAAATCTTATTTGATGAATGTTGGAATGCTTGAATTGACAATCATCGAAAAATAACTAAAAAAAAACAAATTTGATCATTAAATTTATTCATTAAAAGGTCTCATCTAAACAAAAATATGATTACAATGAAATTTAGTAGTTGTAAAAAATGACTCAGCAATGAGTTTACATATTATTTTTTTTTAAATTTAGAACATTTTCGGCGAAACAAATGCTGGAGTGATTCAGTTAATGATCATATTTCTTTTTCCAATGATGGCATCTATAACCATTGACAAATGGCTTGCTAGAGGACGTTAGATATCAGACATGACAAATATTTCTTTGAGATAATCTATAAGTACTGTTATAAATAAAATTGAAATAATATTAAAAATTCAACTATATGATGATGTGCAGATGATTTCATGCATTTACATTTTATCATAAACTTTTATGTTATTTTATATATTTGGTTCAATTATTAGAATCATTTAGTTAAATATCGAAGACAAAAATTCAACTGGCAAAGATGATCGAAAAAATTTGATTCATCAAATTGTATCGAAGTAATTGCAAATGTTGAATGAAGTGCAATTAAGTATAAAGTTTATTTTCATTGCATCGATTTCTATTCTTTTTCGTTTTTTAGAATGCAAAAATTTATGTTGAAAGAATTATTGATATTCATTAGAAATTCTCGAAATTAGTCGACGTTGATTTTGAAAACGAACAAAATTTTTATGCAACTCTTGACAAGCTAATTATTTATTTCCTTGTGTTTTTATTTTGTCTCTTTTATACCTTTAAAGCTTTCTGGAAATTTATTAATCATAATCCAAGAACAAACGATGATAGAACCTAAATTACTTGAATTATTAGCTAAATATTGTGATAAAATCCTAGCGAAATGGTTAGTGAAGTAGTGTTATTGAATATGTTAATTATACGATTTTCTAAAATTTTTCTAATGAAAAAGTAATTGAAGAAAATAAAATTCGAAGAAAACCTTGAACAAATTTTACTACATAGATTTTTTGTTTTTCAAATAGATAAGGGCTTATTTGTTTATTTGTAGAACTAATTTTTAAATATATCGAAAATAAAAATATGTATGAAGTAGTCTAACGAAAAGTATTAGCAAAACAATTGATCAAGCAATTAAATGTATCGAATAATTATGAAAAATCGATGATTTCACTATTAAAAGTCTATTTTATATCAGTTTTTTTTCTTTCATCTACTTGTGTTTTCAAAATGGAGTATATGGCTCGCAATATACACCAAAACGAGAATAAATATCCAAACATATTACATGGTATTAGTTGAATTTTAACTCTTTCAGTATTAGCGTACGGAACACTGCATGCATGTTTAAAGCTTTTCTAATTTCTGAACATACGATTAGAACCCAAAATGATTTTGAGACGCGGTTTTCTCTAAGACATAAAAGACACTTCCATACATATATTCACATAAGAATTATAAATCTATTAAGTTTATTCTTATCGGCTCGTCGATTAATCAAGAAAGTTTTTCGTTTTCTGAAAGTTAATAACAGCCTTTATGTAAAAGAAAACACAAACATTTATACAAGGAGGAAAAAAGGAGAGAGAGACAGAGAAGAAAGACGATCACTTCTTCGTTTACTTCCAAACTGCGCAGTAAGATATGCTTCGAAGAAAAAGATGATATTATAATCTTTCTTTCCAACTTGAAAATAACAGTTACAATAGATTAAAGGATAAGAAAGAAAAATGATGAAAACAAAGGAAAATACGAAAGAGTGGAAAAGAACATGAACGATAAAAAATAAACAAGGAAAATACTGTGTCATCCATGTGATAGCGAAAAACGTCATTTATGTTCGCTTACAGTTATTCAGGTAGTATATATAATGAGCAAGTCTTGCCTAGATTGAGTATGTAATATTTTAAGAGAGCGTTTCTATACGCATCGAGGATGGTGCAGCATAGGGTGTGACACATAAAAATTTTGATTTTTGATTTTTTATGTGCATTCGATAGGTCATCATTCGAAACTAAAAACCCCAAATTTTCAGCTCGTTTGAATGTACTATAGTAAAGTTAGGCTTGACCGACTTTTAAGCACTACGTACCTACTGCTCAAAAAATAGTCACAAATTGTTCCATAAATGCCTACTAGGACTTTTTTNGTAGGTACGTAGTGCTTAAAAGTCGGTCAAGCCTAACTTTACTATAGTACATTCAAACGAGCTGAAAATTTGGGGTTTTTAGTTTCGAATGATGACCTATCGAATGCACATAAAAAATCAAAAATCAAAATTTTTATGTGTCACAGCGTTTCTCGGTCCCAGTAGAAATGCTCTCTTAAGGATTATAGTAAAGAGCAGAATATAGGTGTACATGAGTGAAATCGGTTTTCAAGAAGACAAAGACGATGACAGTAAGGAAAAAAGAACTTGAATAGTCGCTTGCTATCACAATCCGCGTGGTTTAGACATCGGAACCTTTTTTAACTTGAACGAGATCTACAGTGTCCTAAGAGTCTTTTCCACTTAAGTAATGCATATAATTTCATTACTAAACAGCATAATACAATATTTTTGTTATTTAGAAGAGGAGAGCATAAGGGTTCTTTTGCCTAATGCAAGGTTCATAAATTTTGTTCACTAGTACTGCCTGTAATTTCAATACAGAAATGCAAGCGTTTTACAATTTCTAAAAAAAAACATCACGCAACATTTCTCTTCTTGTTATTTGGATTTCTTTTGTTATACTAGTCTTTAAATCATCTAGATCTTTTGCTACTGCTTTGTACAAGTTTGTTTTGAGCTCTCCCAATAACGAGAAGTCCAATGGTGTCTAGTCTGATGATCGTGGAGCCCACGGTATTAGTTCACCTCTTTCAATCCATTTAATAGTGTGTGACTGTGAAACAAGAGAAAGTCCACACTCACACCCTAGTCCTCTCATCCAAAAAAAGGGGATATATATATATATATAAGTGAATAACTTTAAAGACCTCCTAATTCCCCATTTGTATTTGAAATCGAGTATTTCTAATTCTGAATGCAAATTGAAATCAAATGGATCATTGAATGAATATTTTATGTAATGCTGTTTTTAGTTAAGAACTGTAAGTCATTAATAAATTTGTCGACTTTCATATATAAATTCACCAGACATTTACAAGGTCTATCTAAATAATAAGATAATCTTTTCAACGTCAGATCCATTACTTCTTTCAATAGAATTTTTTGCTTACGGTCTATTTGTTTCTTCATCGTTTATTTCATTTGTCGTGAATATTTTCACGTGTATGCGGAGATCTATTTCGAAATAATAAATTCTGTTAAGAAAAGATTGTAATGAAAGAATGAAATACGATCTGTGAGAAATTAAAAACGGCAAAAGCCAAACAATAATTGCATCAACTAAAAACAACAGTTGCTGAATTAAAACATCTGTTCAGAAAAATTCACTGAAAATAAAATAAATCATTTATGTAATAAGAAATAAACAAAATTCGACTCTTTTTATACGATCTATGACTTTTTAGAATACATGAAGTTCTAATGATCACGAAACGATAAAAAAAAGCTAAAGGAGAAAAGAAAGATTATGTTGAATTTCAATGACAATGATAAATATAACAACACTAGCATTATTTAACAGTAGTAGATCAGGTGGCGAGCGTTATAACGATCGTGCGTTCCTCTAGATTTTTTTCATTTTTCTTGTAACAAAATCCTACAGAAAATATTCCCATACACTATTCAGAATTGATGTCGACAAACGACTATTCATTATTGACACCTCTTCAAATAAGTTATTTCCTTGTCGTCAAAATCTGATATCCGCCTCTGATACTGATGAATGTTGGATAAATAAACATTTAAGTAGTAAATACCATGAACAATACTAGATGACATAAACGATAGAATAAGATAGTTAGAGAAAACTAGAATTTTTTAAATACAATGAATCAGAAAATGATTGATCCTTTATGTAAATATCCGATAGTATCATTAATTCTATGACTGTCGATGTTGCGCATCTATAAGTTGTTCTTCTTTTAATCATTGTCATAGGAAATAATATACCGTTCATTTAGTTCAGCTATCTGTAGATAACATACTATAGACCATAGTACATTGTTCAAGTATACATATACATAGTTATGACTTATACGTAGAATTCGAAAAATTTCTATCAAATTATTTTCCGATGCAATCTAATTTTCGGGGCTTCATATCAAATCATTATATCTATCATCATCTATATATTCAAATTTAATGGCAAAACTTAAATTTAGGTTAGCAAGGTCTACAAGACTTGAAAATTTCATATTGTTTAGAAATTCTCAGCATAAACATGCTCGAGACTTCATGGAATATCCAATAATGTAAATCATACTAATCATTCAAATTTTATCTTGTCAGATTGATTTCAATAATGATCATACAACTTCTGATAGGTTCATTTGTAGTAGAATACATTAACACGATCAATGTAACGATATTGAAATTTTGTTTTTCATTGTTATTCAAGATCATTTAGATTCATTATGAGTATTGATAAAAGCCTACAAACGGAGAAATCCAACTTTTGTCATTATTTAGCGTATTAGTATGAAAATGATAAGATGATGGGAAGTTATTAAAGAAACAAGCATGATATTATATGACCATCCTAGTCCATTTCGTATATTTTTGTCAGAATGAAAACGGTAATATGAA